AAAAAAAAATTAAAAAAAAGAATTGAGGTTGAAAACTCTTATATTACACCAAAGTTTTGTGTTACTTTTTCTTTTTAACCTAATGCTCTTCATGTGATAATTTTGTACTGTGATACTCCCTACTTACTAAAACATTCCTCTGTTTAAGAGTTACTTAACAATATTTTGACAAGTAATATCAAATGTTAAAAGGTTACATTTTTGTACATTTTATCTAGTTGGCTATGTTTTATCTTTGCTATATTTATAGCTAGGATTCACAATAAGGTAACACTGATTTCGTTTTAATAGACACTTTTCCTTATCAAACTGTTCAGGCTAGCTTTGGAGAACATTTTAGTCATTACATATGGGTTCTCCAGGAGTTCTACGGGAACATCAGTGAAATTGGACAGTGCATCTATATTTCAAAGGCCTGGCCTAGTGATAAGGTGGAAACAGAGTGATTACACAGAAATGCATCAAACTTTCTCACTTAACATCTAATTTCTGGGCATAGAATTGAAAAAGAAATCAATTCTTTCCATTTGAAATTATATCATTTTTAACATTTTTTCTCAGAAAAATATAGTCAGATTCGATGGCTAGGTCTTCACATTCTTTCTTTTTAAAAGGAAAAGACATATGTGTATCTATACATACATTATATATATATTTAAAGACTTCTTTATCCACCTGCCTTATTTAAAGCACAGAGTACACAGCAGCTGTTTGAAAACTTCTTTTCTCTGGTTATCTTGGTCTATTGATATAAACTGCTCAATTGCTTCCATAAAGTGCCTCTAGCCATAAGGGAATCATTTGCATAAGTGGATGAAGATTTTTGTCTTCCGTGAAGGAAACTTGACGAGTCTCTTAATGGCTTTCCCTTCTTTCCCTTGTCGCAGTATCCAGCCGCCCTGATGAACCTGGGAGCCATCCTGCACCTCAACGGCAGACTCCAGAAGGCTGAGGCCAACTACCTGCGGGCCCTGCGGCTCAAGCCCGATGATGTCATCACGCAGTCCAATCTTCGGAAACTGTGGAATATCATGGAAAAGCAAGGCCTGAAGACTTCGAAGACCTGATAGGAGGCCTTCCTCGTCCTCCGTTTTTAAAAGCTGGTTTCATTCACAAACAAAACTTCCCAGCAGGGGCCTGGATGAGCCCGTGTTAGACTTCAAGACCACAGACCAAGGTCACCGAGGGCAACTGCCACTTCTGCGAGAATCTACTTTGTTGTTGGCGCAGCTGTTAACACCAAAAAAGGGGAAGCATTGAATCTTCTTGACCGATATAGTTGTCACCCATAGACTGTAAACCCAAGCACTTAAGACCGGATCTGTTGGCATTCTTAAAAAAAAAATGGGGAGAGTCTAAGTTACAGATTTTGTTTGCCTTCGAAAGCTAGTTTCAAAATTATTTTGTTCCTTAATCACTGTGAGAGGAAATAAAGTGTCCAGCGGCCACGGTCAACATAAGAAGGCCGAGTGTAGGTAGAGCGCGGTTGAAAAGCAGAGTGAATCCAGTGACTGCCTGGTCATCTTCATTCTGCGCTCGGTCCTCTTGGGGCAGCCTGTTTATTCATTCCTAAAGCTTCTTCGAAAACATTGTTGTGGTTGTTGAGTTAAATACTGTGGCAGGATCTGTCAGAATCTGTGGTGATGCCTGCCCTCCACAACATTGGATTATTTGGATGCCACGGGCATCATCACTCGTAGGAACAGCGTTTGATTTTCATGTTCTAAAAAGAATATGGAGAGCAGGGCTTTCCACGCTTCCCATTGGTTTCACTCCACCTGCCTGGTCGAATTCATTGTCATTATCCCTCCTGTTGCTCTTCAGTCCATTCTGGCTCCCCCTGGTGACTCCTGTGTTAGGGAGCAGAACGATTTCATAGGGTTGCCACCCAGGCTGTCCGCAGCACCGCTGGTTGCTCTCAAACTTCCATCCGTTGGGTTAGCAGTTTACTGCAAACTGCACAAGGCCCTTGGGGACTCCTGAAGACAGAGCCTAATTCTTAGGCTTCTGAAATGACCTTCTAAAATGGATGTTCTGGGCTAACCTGCATGCTTTCATAAGGATTAACTCAAGGGAAGTTTCTAAACTTTGCAACTCCAATACCTAAGCAGCAGTGGCGACAAAAGGGAGACTCTTGGTGCTTCCCAGATACTGCTGCTTGAAAAGCCAACTCACCCCAAAAGGGGCATGCCATGATGGTTGCCAGGGAGTTTGCATTTTGGAAAGAGTTAGTGTGGAATGCTAACCACTTTCTCATATATTCCTAAATAGAGATGCTAATAGATTGTCAAGTAATTATTTTTATCATATTCTTATTTTGTTCTTCTCACAAAGATGCCCACGATGACTTAAGTCAAGCCGCAGTAGAGTGTGGCAGAAGCCCATGTGTTTCTAGATTTTTGTCAAGTGTCTTTCTCACTTGAAAGCTCCTCTTCCTAGCGCGTGTGGTATTTATTTTATGACTTGTTAGTAGTCCCTTTAATGATCATGTCATGAGAGTAAAACTCGGGCAGAATGCATACTGAAACATGTTTGAGTCATAATCCAACTCTGTTACGAAAACTTAACTTGTCGATCACGGTTCCATTATTACATCGTTGTAGAAAAGAAGCTTTGCCACACCCTACATATTTATTTATTTATTATTCTACAGTAGCAAGCTAACAAAATGTAATTCATTAAGCAAGTTCTTTGCAACATAAGTTAGTTTTCCTTTGCCTCTTTCTCTCCTTTCTTTTCATATTCCACATATATACATCGGATCAGCATCCCCACTGAAGAATCCCTGGGTATGCAAATAATCATATTATCTTTTCTCCATATTGTTCGTGTCTTACTATATATCTGAATACAGTGGGATAACAGGTTTAAAGTAGTGTGCCTATGGCGTTAATGTTTCTGTGATAAGGGCAAATGTAGGGGGAAGAAAAAATGATGGTCTTAATAAAAAGGTCCTCTGAAATATGTTTGTTATTTTGTAAACATTTCATTAAAGGGCCAAAAGTACATTAAAACACTTTGTTTCCAGAGTAATCACAACAACAACAAACCTGTCATCAAACCAAAAGAGTGGGTTAAGTATATTTTACATTCTCTGCCGCATTGGAAATTACAAACTTAAAACAAATTTAATATAAAGATATAAAGATAATTCAATGTCTAACATTTATATTTATTTAAATAGTTATTGACTTAAGATGGGTCCCTGATCTTAACCTTATATGTTGTTGTTTTAATTATTTCTCTTTCCCCCCCAAATACTTGGTTCTTCATGTGTTCACTGGGTGCGCCGCAGTAGAGGCACTCCATAGTGGTCCAGTTCCCAAGCAGCAACGATTTCCGTGCCTGTGTCATAACATACCTGGGTCTTTACTAACTAATGTCCCTGACATTTTTCAATACAAGGCCAGGCTCATTGGCTGGCCAACTAAGGAGGGTGGACTGGGGAAGGGAGGGTTATTAAAACATGATCAAAAAAATGTCTCCGCTCAGGGATTTATGGTGGATTATTGCAGATAGTGCTAAAAATTACAGAGCACAACACAAGTTTACTAAATTAAAATTTTATTTTTTGAGAAACTGTTATTTGTATAAATTATCAAGATTTGTAGGCTTTCCTTTTGTAGAAATAATTGTTTTATGTGCCAGAGAATTTCAATTTTGTTTTCAACAATAAAGCATTGATAACAAATCTATTGTGTATGCTTTTTAAAAAAAAATTTGTTAATGCAACAGTAATTCAGCTCTCCTAGCTTCAAGCAAAGTGATGAGACAGAGAAGCCATATTGAGAGACATTCAAGTTAATAATATGAAATCAATAATAGTCATTCATTATTAGTAACAAATAATGACGGTTACAGATATAACTGGATATTTGATATAGAGAAATAATGACCAAATGGTTCCTTTTGATTTTGAACTATGAGAAATTAATCTAAGAAATGCTTCAGACATGGTCCATTATTGCTTCTATAAGCAATATGAGGAACCCTGGTGGCATGCTGATTATGGTTTGGGCTGCTAACCACAGAGTCCACAGTTCAAAACCACTGACCCCTCAGGGCGAGAAAAATGAGGCTTTCTACTCCAGTAAAGAGTTACAGTTTCAGAAACCCACCAGGGCAGTTCTACCCTGCCCTATAGGGTCACTAAAAGTCAAATCAACTTGATGGCAGTGAGTTGGTTTTAATAGGCTATCTGGTAATGGTTAGGACACTCTGACTCTCTGGGTCTTGTCCTAAATGAAAACCCCACCCAGGGCTGTTGAGAAACATGGGTGTGGCACATTCAGCTGTCTGTTATAGGGAGCTCCCAGACTTGCTAGTGACTAGCGAGTGGAGAATTTTATAGTCTTGGTAAACTTATTAAATAATGACATGACTATATGAGTTTGCCTAATTACTGAAGACTGATCAAATTTACCTCTGAGGACTTCATAGGCTAAACATACTATGATGATGTGAGTTTATGTTGCATGTTTTTACCACTTAGGAAGCCAAGGCACAGAGGCATAAATAACTTTTTCAGGTCACTGAGACCCGGCTAAGTGGATGCATTGGGAACCAAACCAAAAGTCTGGAGGGCAGGTTCCTAGGTCTCTTCACATTCCCCTACCTGTTCTTTCTTCCACAAATTGTTTAACTTCTATACCTCTTACTAGAGACAACTATAATTATTAAAAGAGGCAATGTATGAAAAATAAAATACGCATCATGAGAATTGAAAATGAGCTCGGTGGTCACAGAGCTAAATCCTAAGTTGTCACTTGAGAAGCATTAGGTGATTGAATGAAGATCCAAGAGCTGGCTAGTTCCAGTTGTACAAAAATATATAGAAATGTTGGTTATTAATAGGCCTTGCTGTATGAAGTCATTGCATAATTTATTTTAATTTTAAATGCAGGCAAAGAAGACTTGGACTAGATTCTGAAGCCAATCAAGCCGGGCCATATCTTTCTAGTAGGCATTCTCTCTCTAGCATGTTTTGTTGAGCAGAAAACCAAGAAATCTTTTAAAAAATGAAAATTACCTTTATTATTTGCTCATATTAAATTTGGATAATGGTTTAAAATATCACTTTTTAAAAACTTAAAGGATCCAGGGACTTTCATTCGATGTTTTCACTTTACATAGTGGCAGCTTTCAGAGTTCTCCCTTTTAGAAAAAAGAAGAGAAATGCATCTAACGTTTGGTTATTCTTTCTAGTAACCAAGAAACCCAGTCCCTGAGGATAATTTAAGAGCAAAAATAATTCCAATTCATTTATACATACCTTTGGAAAGTGACTTTATACTTAATTTAATTATATCCAATACAATCAAATTGGCTTCCTACTAATTAAAACAATTTAATAAAGGGGATCACTAGAAAATTTGGCTTATGCATTGGAACAACTATTTGCTGTAAGAAGAAAGCAAGCTACAGTGGCAATATAATTATGCTAACTCTGTTAAACCTAGCTGTACAGTCGAGAAGGATGGATGTGTACCAGGAACGTTAGCCTTCTCGCTCTATCCTGTTGGGTGGTCTCCCTGTAGTGTGCAATCAGAGAGGCCTTTGACTTGCTTTCATTACATCTGGCGCTGCCCCACATACTGGCTTTTTTTTTCTTATGTAGAGATTTGAGATGTATTTTTCCTCCTGGAGTACTGCTGGGAGTTGAAGTTTCTTACTAATTGAAATTCCTGTGAAGTTTTTCCTGTATTTTCTCCAACATGTGCCTCAAATTCTTACAGCTGCTGTCTGATGTTTTTGTGTGATTTAATTTTCTGCTTCCAAAGATTGTCGAGAAGAGCTTTAAAAAAAAAGAAAAAAGAAAAATCTGTTCATCACAGGGGAAGGATACAAATACAAAGATAGTTCAGTGAGACTATACAAAAATACCTACAAGAATCTAAGAATTCAATGTATCATCTCAGCTGGTGTTTGGTAAAAGTTTCTGGAGATGCCAAAAAGCAATGTTGAGATAAAGAGAGACTGGCTCTACCTGCAGGGGATTGACTGTGATATACTATTAGTCATATAATTGAACCTTGAACTATGCATGGGCTTGGGCACCGAACCTCTCCTGACCTGTAAAATTGAATACCCATGTATAACTTTTTACTCCCTTAAAAGTTAGCTACTTATACCTTGCTGTTGACTGGAAGTCTTTCCAATAAAATCAACAGCCGACTGCTACATAGTTTGTATGTTATATGCAGTGGTGGTGCTAGGGAGCCAGAACAGGGACTAAAGGGGGTTGTCTCCCCAATGCCTGCATAGGGCCACAACAAAGGGGTTGGAAAAAAGCCAGGCACAATAACTGGACACTTATGGAATGATCCAAACTGAGCATATGCAGGCTAGGACCACCTAAGCGCAGGTGAAGGTAAGCTTGGCCACAACCCAGGCACATGACATCACACAGGTGGACTTCTTAAACTCAGCCAATACCCTCAACCAGGCCTCCCCAGCCAGTGTGGGTAAAAGTATTTCTCTGGCAGGCCACCTCTCAGGTGAGCTTGGTAGGCAGAGGGTGGGACTCTTACGTGCATGGGCACACATTCGCCACTCCGGTTCAGAGGCCCAAGTGCCCTCTCAGACCTCCCTCTGGGCATAGATTTGTGCTCCTGTTCTTGTATTCTCTGCATGTGGTTTTTCCCGTTCACCCATGAACTCCTGTGTGCCTGCCTTGCAGCCTTGTACACTTTCCTGAAACAGCGTGTACCTTTTGAGACTCTAATACCTGGAACTTCCCTTTCCTCATAAAAGTTACTTGGGTTACAAACATGCTTCTGCCGTGTGAATTCTTTCAGCATGCAAAGCAAGAACCAAGGTATCCCAATCCAGAAGCATTTTGGTTCTGTGACTCGGATTAAAACCTCTGGACTTTGAGGTAAGCAGGCTTGAGACAAAACTTTCTTGTCCCTGGAGCTGGACAGGCACTGCCTCACTCATTTCACACTTCATTTTGGAATTCACCTCTCAACTTCTCATCTCTTGGGAGAAGCTGAGATGCCCTGGTGCTGGGATTGAACTTTCAAAGTGTCAGACTTAAAATGTAGGGCTGGGGGGTTGAAACCACCTGTCTTCTTAGGAGAGAAATGGAGCCTTCCACTCAGACATAGCTGCACTTGTTCATGGGACCACTCAACACTGACCTTTGGAGTTTGCTTACCCATGAGAAACAGTTTGCCTGGGGCCACATATAGATAGCAGTACCCACCCCACCCCCATGGGTCTGCATTCCTGCCTCCATGTTTTGCTATTTGTACCCTCAAAAGACTTCTTTTCCTATGATCCTGTCGGAAGATTCTTGACTGCAGACCCTGCACTCTGTTCCTGAAAGCCCTTTCACCTTCCTTTGCTTTTCTGGCACATTTCATTCTTGTTGATGACTGCCTTGTCACCCCCCAAACTGCTCCTCACCCATGCTGCTTAGCTGCCGTTTAAATCGGTTGGTCTTTCTGCAAGATACTCACTCCCCATGCTTTCTCCCCTCAGGTCGCTGACTCTGCCATTTTTTTGCAGAATAGCTGAACACATGATCCTCCCCTGACCTTGTCAAGGTGGCACCTCCTGCTCCATCCACTGGTCTAACCAGGCATTCTAGGGGTGAGACTTATTGCTAGCCAGCCCTTTCTGGTCCCTCCCGGTTTCTCTGTGCTCCCACCCCCAGTCCCTTCTGGTTTTTCAGGCTAGTCCTACCCGGTTCCCACAGTCCCACCCAGATTGTCCTGATTGTC